GGGATTGTTAGGAAAATTAAACAAAATCTCTGTGATTCTCTTATTATAATATCTATTATACAGAACCCATCCAATAATGTTTAAATAAACTATTTTTTGAAAATGATGATATTTTTTCTCTATTAATAGTTTCCCAACTTAGAGCTTCGAGTGGACCTAGTGCAAAGATGTGGTTGGAGAAACTTTTTCTTTCTCTTTATTCCTATAATACCATACCACTCAAAAACTACATCTTTAGGCATTCCTTCTATCCAAATCACATTCTGAAACAGTTCTTATCATTATGCTTGCCTCTAATTTTTTAAAAATGTATAAACAGTTCACTAAGCATTCTATACCATTTCTTATAAATGAGTATTTATTTAGTTGGAGCCTTTCACTCATCCATGTGGAGAGGAATATTAAAGGTCCTGAGGAACTAAGCCTGACAGCATCCATTTGAGTGAGCCTGGAAGTAGATTCTCCAGCTCCAGACCAGCCTTGAGATGACTTTAATCCAAGCCAACAAGCTTGAGGGCCCTCATGAGGCTTATAAGCCAGAACCATCCAGTGAAACACTCTCAGACTCCTGACTCAGAGAAACTGCATGAAACATTTATGGTTTTAAAGTGTAATGTTTTTGGGTAATTTGTTAAATGGCAATAGATAATTAATATAGCCTAAAAGGGCATGATAACCTAACCCTTTTCCACTTCTCTAATCTTACTTCATCTTACTCTCCTTTGTAATCCTCCAGTTACACAGGCCTTCTTTTAAGTCCTCCAAGGGCCAAGCTTTCTCCAATTACCTTTGCACCTGCTGTTCCCTCTCCCTGGAATGCTCATCCTCCCAATATCTGAATGGCTGATTGCTTTTCATCCTTCACTGAATTTTTCCCGACTACACCTACATAATGTATATGCCATCTTTTACTTCACCCAGCACCCCATTTTCTTCATAGTACTAATCATAATTTGTCATTTCCCTCCATGCATAAGATTGTAAGCTCCTACATTAGAATATAAGCTCCCAAAGAGCAGGGACTTTATCCATCACATTCTTAATTGAATCTCCTACATTTATTCAGGACATGGCACAGAACAGGACCTAAATGAACACTTGCTGAAAAATGAACAATCCATTTTTTTTTTTTTGCAAAAAAAGGGCATAAACTCACTTCAGATATTACCTAAAGTAATAGAGGCAAGACATTCTTACAGTAAGCATTGAGTAGAAAGGGCATTTTTGTTAGTAAAAATGCAATTTTATAATGATTATCAGGAGTATATAGTATACTTACTTGATTTTGGCCACGACAAACAGGTCATTGAATAGGAAAAGATGCCGCTCCTGCCTCTGGAGGCCTCTTTTGAGTTCTGCCCGGCCATCAATCAGCAGAGTCCTATTGGAGCACACAAATGATGACAGAAATGTGCACGTGTCAACACTAGCAGAAGGACTTTCCCTGTAACAGATCAAATGCCAGAGATCAATTAGTCAAATGATCATCTTATAGTTGGTCAAAAACTATAAAACTGTAATTTTTTAATACAATAGTACAGTGTCCTAACTGGTCCCAAGTCTATTCTCCACACAGTAGTCTTTAATATCTCATTATCAGAATTTTGAAACAAAGAAAAGTTGAAATAGTTTTATAATAAACATATGTATATATACCTCAATCTAGATTCTACCATTAATATTTTACTATGCTTGCTTTATCAAATACCTATCCAACTATCTATAGAATAATTCATTTTATTTTTTGGCATTTCAGTGTAAACTGCATACAGGCAGTACATATCCCCCTGAATGCTTCAGCATACATGTCATTAATGAGTTCAATTATTTATTTTGAATTTTTCTTTTGATATAAAATTTACATACAACAAAATGGACAAATCCTAGGTGTATAACTACTGACTTTTGACAAATACACTCATCTGTGTAATTTAAGCCTCAAACAAGATTTAGAAAGTGATCATCACTCCAAATAATTCCCTATTGCCCCTTCTCAGTTATATAAATTAACCAAATATAGTCTCTATGGATTGGCTCCTTAGTTGTTTATTTCTTCACTGCAGACTGAGACCTGTTAGTTCAAAAGCTCACTAGTACCAAACTCAAATTTTTACATACCCAAGTATTATAAAAATAGCCCAAACATATTTTTAGCCAGTAATAGCCTGCCTGATTTGCATAATCCATCTAACTACACCCAGCACCTGCTGGCCACTGAGAAGAGAGTGTCTGCGGTTATGAGACCCCCAAGTTGCTCCCCCCCTTTAGAGCTCTCTGACTTAGCCTTTCCTCACTACTGAGGAAAGGACATGTACTCTCCAGAAATATCTGTTCTGATTCTTTCTCCCCTAGAAATTCTCTTGTCTTCCTTCCCTTCTGGATGGTGGATGAACCTCTGGACAGTCTCATACTGTGAGGGACTTACTTTCTCATGCAACTCCGTACAATGGTCATATTTTAAATCTTTGATCAGATCCCAAATACCTCAAATTCCTTATACCAGTCAATCCCTACTCAATCGCCCCAGAGGTAACCACTATTCTGATTTTTTTTTTTTTTCCCATGGAAGACTGCTTGTTCTCGAATTTTATACAAATTGAACCATAGTACCTACTCTTTTGTGTAAAACATTATTTCCTCATCATGTCTTTGGAATTTGTTCACATTACATTCATCAGTAATTCATTCCTTTATTTTACTTAGGTATTCAATGTATAAATATACCAGAGTTTATTATTCTATTGTTGTACACTTGGACTGTTTCCCATTTTAAGCTATCATGAATAAAATGGCTATTAAATATTGTACTAGTCTTTTTGTATCTATGTTTACATTTCTCTTGGGTAAATACCTCAGAGTGGAATTGTTGGGTCACAGAGTAGGTATATGTTTAATTTTATTAAAAACTACCAGTTAGCTTTCCATAACAATGGTAACATTTTACATTCCCAGCAACGCTGTAGAAGAGTTACAGTTGCCCACAACCTTGCCAACACTTGGTGCTGTCAGTCTTTTGAATTTTGGCCAGTTTAGTGGATGTATAGTAGCCTTTAATTAGGATTTTTTTTTCTTTTTTTGTGACACAGTCTTGCCCTGTCATCCATGTTGGAGTATAGTGGTGCAATCTTGGCTCACTGAAACCTCCACCTCCAGAGTTCAAGCAATTCTCCTGCCTCAGCCTCCCAGGTAGTTGGGATTACAGGCATGTGCCACCATACCCCACTAATTTTTGTATTTTTAGTAGGGACAGGGGACAGGGTTTTGCCATGTTGGCCATGCTGGTCTCAAACCCCTGACCATGCAGGTCTTAACTCCTGACCTCACCTTATCCACCTGCCTTGGCCTCCCAAAGTGCTAGGATTACAGGTGTGAGCCACCATGCCCAGCCTTTAATTAGGATTTTAATTTGCATTTCTCTGCTAATTTCTTTCCCTTCTTACTGGTCATTTGCATTATCTTCATTAGTGAACTGTCTTCAAATCTTTTGATCATTTAAAAAAATTTGGGTTATGTGTGATTATATACATATTATCTATTGAGTTGTAGGAACTTTTTTGTGTATCCTAGATTCCACTCCTTTGTCAAGTTATGTGTTTTGGAAAGTATTTTCTCCTAGTCTGTTGCTTGCCTATAAACTTTCTTGACCATGTTTCTGACAAAAAGTTTTAAGTTTTGATGAAGTTTATCAAATTTTTTCATATGGTGTTTACTTTCTGTGACATTTCTAGGAAACTTTCACCTGTCCACATCATCAAGATATTGTCCTATGTGTTCTGCTAAAATATGTATGATTTTTAGTTTTTACGTTTAAGTCTATGATCAATCCCAATTAATTCTGCTTAATAAGGTAGAGGGCCAGGTTCATTTTTTTCCATATAACATTTCATTATTCTAGCACCATTTGCATCAAAGACTTGGTGCTTACTCATATGTAAAGTAAGTTAGTTAGACTAGCACTACAAGATCTTTAAATTCCATTCCTCAATGGATTGCTTTGGTACTTTTATAAAAATTACATGACTACAAAGCATAAGTCCATTTCCAGGCTCTCTATTCTGTTGCAATGATTGTTGATTCTTATTCTATAACCACACTGCCTTATTGTTTTATGTTTATAGTAAATCATAAAATTACATAGTGTTAAGTCCATCAATTTTTTCTTTCTTGAGAGTGTTTTAGATAATCTAGGTCTTTTGCATTTCTATATACAGATGGTCTCTGACTTATAATGGTTTGACTCACCATTTTTTCACTTTATGATGGTGTGAAAGTGATATGCATTGAGCAGAAACTGTACTTCGGATTTTGAATTTTAATATTTTCCTGTGCTAGGTTAGGTGTATTAAATGCATTTTCTACTCATGATATTCTTAACTTATGATGGATTTACTCTGACATAACCCATTGTAAGTCGAGGAATATCTACACATTTTAGAGATTAACGAAGATGAAGAACAAAGAAGGGAAAGCGTATTGTGGCTGAGGAAGAGGAGATGACCTCAGTTTCAAATGTACCGAGTCTGAAATTATCAGTAGGCTAGATGGTATGGCAAAATCAGGTACGCATGCAGCACTTGGAAGAGATGTCAGAAGTAGAGATGTCATACAAAGACAGGTGCATAAATAACTCTTTGGAATGGCCAGAACTGCAAAGGGAAGGAGCACAAAATGAGAAAAAAGGTGGAAATGCATCACTGAGGAAAGTGGAAGAGATGAAGGGAAGAGGACCTGTGAACAAAGATGGAGCCTGGCAAATGAGGTAGCAGAAAAAGAATAAAAAGTAGTGGTGGTCTGGAGTGCTGAAACTGACAGAAGGTATAAAAGCTGAGGTGTGAAAAGGTGCCTGAGGGAAAAAAAGTGATCAGTTGATCATTAAGACGTTTGAGGAAACAGTTTCAGGAAAATGGTATGTGCAGAACTCAAATGTCTGGAATTTGAGGAGTAAAAGGATGAGAAGTGAGGAACTAAAGGCAAAAACTCTTGTTTTTTAGCAGTTTAACACTAGAAGATGACTTGAAGGATTCTAAAGTGAGTACAGCTGGTGAAGAAGGAAAGGTAAGAGAGAAACAATCAACCCTGAAGGTAGTATTCCTCATTTTACAGATCTGAAGCTATTTAGGGTAGCCAAAATGTACTGCTACTAAGTAAAGGTGATTTACAAGTATGGTTTCAAAACACGCACTTTAAAAAATTCTATGTAATCTTTTAAATGGACAAACACTGCATTGACTCAGCTCCTTCCACCCGCCATGATGATTGAGTTGAGCAGTTTAGGATTTAAGGTCTTGGGTGGAGTGCTAATCCAAGCCTTTTTGCTAAGTAATGTGATATGGCAAGTAATCTGGTTGGCTCAGTTTCCTAAACGTAAAGTAAATTAGTTGGACTAGAAGATCTTTAAATTCCATTTACAATTTATATATGGGACTAACTAAACATGTATCCAAAAGGTGGAATTAAGATTACTGATGAGAGGAAAACAGATAATGGATATGATTGGCTATCTCTGTAAGAACACCCCAGTCCTAAAGTATAGCTTATAAATGTGTGGCTAAGCATATCTGAGAGTCACTTCAGGGGAACAATTTCAGAGCTAAACTAAATTAAAAGTCAAGCAAAAGCCATAATAATGACAATGAGAACAGTTTTTAGAAATTAGTCTAATTAAATGAGGAGCTCAAAGAGCAAATATTTCTCAGGGTCTCCATCAAAGCATAAGGTTTAAGGGGCCATGATGTGTCACCTCAACTATCTGGTTCACGTGGCAGCTATAACAAATGAGAATTATGGCTTATCTACATTTCTTGGCTTTGAATAGTATTGGTCACAGTGTCTGATCTCCCCTGTGTATACTAAAAGTATGAGAATCATACACTTTCCTAATAGCTCTGAATTAATCCCTCAGTGGTCAGCCATCCCTTCCTCTATTACATTCTCATTGTGTGGACCACCAATCAGCATCATAATCATCAACCAGGAACATCTTTAAAAAAATGCAAATTCTCAGGCCTTCCTCAGGCTTATTGAATCAGAAACTCTGGAGGGTTGGCTCAGCATCCTGCAGTTTAACAAACCAGTCAGGTGATTCTAATGCATATTGAAGTTTGATTCTAATGCACATTGAATCAACTCTCTGAGTCTACAACACATTCTAGCTCTAACATTGTAAAATTCTACAATAGTTTATTCTAAGTACGTACAAGTAGTTTATAGTCCTACTTCAACAAAGTTGAGCTTCTGAAAGTTATTCCATCATTTCCTGCAATTTCTCAGCTATAGCTACCTCTTCCAAGAAGTGAATTTCATTATGCTAATTGCTAATTAAGCATATAATTAAGTATAACTTAAAGACATGTAGGTGAATGACAAGGCAAGTAAATAAATCAAAGTCCTTTGAAAGAAAAGGGAAAAGGAGTTTCTATGCTTGAAATTATAGGTTGGAATTCAGCGGAGAACAAAGAAAAGGCCTACATTCACCCTCACAGAAAAAAATTCTTTCTCAAATTCTTTTGGGAGAGTGGTAGAAGGTATAAGGGAATCTTTTCGTATGTAATAATTTTCAAATGTATAGAAAACAAAAGTAAAGCTTTTACTTGTTGAAACTGAGCAAGGACAAGGCTACTAAGCAATGAATGGATGAAAAAATGGCTAAAATAATACTTTGCTGAGCTTTAATTTTTTAATTGCATAACAGAAAACCTTTGCAAGAGGAAAAATCACCTTTTGCATTTTGGTTTAGGTATCCAATAAATAACTGCTTTTTGATTATAAGAAGAAACCATCAGATTGCAGTATGGATTAAACTAGGAACCTTCAAACTATTATTCAAAGGGTCTGATGATAGTTTTAAGTTTTGTGGGCCATACCATAATCTCTGTCAAAGCTATTCAACTCTAACCTTTTATTGCAAAATCAATCATATACATAAATAAATAGGTGTGGCTGAAAAAGGGAATTAAATAAAAGCAGTAATAGTAAAAACAAAACCTGATAATTTGTAGTTACTATATAATAAAGTGAATTTTGCTGTGTTGTGTGCTGTTTAATATAAAACCCAACCCCCAGCTCTGCTTAAAATTAACTAACTCCCTGTAAAACCTACCTTATCTATTCTCTCGACATTCTCAGCCAAGTTCCCAGGCATCTCAAAACTCTTGTTTTTCTTGCTAACCAGCTTCAAGGTCACAGGACAAAATAACACTCCAAAATGTACAATATGTTTCTCAAAATGCTATTTTTCAAATGTAACATACATCACAAAACATGTTGCAAATTAATTAAGTGTTCTTTGTTCTAACTTCTGTAAACCTCATCCCAAATGAATAAGTACCCCATTTTCTTTCTCCAGGGCTCAAACTTAAAATGCCAATCCTCCAAGCCAGTGGCCACCTTAATAAAATCCTCCAGTTTCACCCATTGGTCTCTCTGGTCTCCTAAATATTCTATAACAGCTGTGTTTCAATAAAACTTTATTCATAAAAATAGCCTGTCTGGGTCATGGTTTGCAGCTCCCTGGTTTAAACAATACTTCCAAAACATTTAAACGGTTATAAATAAAGACTAATATGAAGTAATTAGAAAATTATTATTTTGCTTGGGATTGGCCTAGGCCAAAGATTAATTAGGCTATTTTAAAAAATAGTTTATATTTTAAAGCAATTCCAAAGGATTGTCATACACAATGACTTATTTTCCTCCTCATGATATTACTTTCAAATAAGGAGACTGCTGATGGTGTCAGGAAGAATTCACAATAAAATTAATGTGTGTCTATCAGGCTGTCATTTTAAAAATCTATATATGAGTGTGTCAAGAGATGTCTGAAGACTTTAGTAAACTAGGTATTGCTTAAAAAAATTCATGCAGTATACTAGAATAAAAGTAAACACCTCAGCACTCACATAATTTAAAAGGAAAAAAAATTCACGGAAGGAAACAAAAACACAAGTTTTGTGTTTTTTAATACAAAATTAAAGTCTCCTACTTAAAAATGTATTTCTCAATTATATGACTTGGAAGCGTTTATTTATGAGTGAAGTGTGGATGTGTTTATTTTACTCTTTTAGAGTATGGATATGGAGAAAGGGTAAGATTATAACCTATTTAGCCTTTCAATATAGGCTGATTAGGACTTACAAATTATAATTAACAGAGCTCTAAAATAATCTAACAATTATAAGCAGAGTCTAGGAATTCACCTGTTGCCTGCTTTTCATGTTTTAATATTCCTTTTCAAATGGATTTGTGAAACCATTTTTGAAAAGCAAAAATGTGTTTTAGAACCTTAGTTATTTTTCACTGAAACTAGAAAACAGCTTTCACAAAGCCTGGCCACAGTAATAGGTCAGTATTTATAACTAAGGTTAATTCTAAAATGAGTCCACGTTCAGGTACAGTTTTACAGGCAGTGTTGCTTAATCATAAGTTACAAAGAAAATAAACTAAAATTCAGAATACTTGGAAATGTCTATGTTTATTAGTAATCAATTAGAGATTATGGTAACAAGTACCAGATAGGATCTGGATAACCTTAAAGCCTGGTAAAGTAACTAGCACATGATCACTGATCGATAATTGTTGAATAACTAAATACAATTTATCATCCCAAAATGTACCCATATCTCAAAGCCCATTCCAAATGTCAACTCTTCCATGAAAACTTTTTATCAACTGAATCCTTGCTTGGCATCGCTTACATGATATCTAGCATGTATATTCTGCTTTATATATCCTAAATGTTCTCATTCATTTATTGTGTATAAAATTACCATATAATAAATTATTGGCAATAGTGATAGGTTGTCTTTGCTGGGAACCTGCCATGTGCCAGGAATAGGAGACAGATTGGGTCCTTGGCCTCAAGGAATTAGCAATCTGACAGGCAAGTCAGACAAGTAACATGATGATAAACTAGTGATGTAAATGCAATAAAAGAAATGCAGCATGCAGGAGGATAAAGAAGCAAAAACAGGAGACTGTATCTGAGACTGCATTGGCTAGGAAAATTCCTTGGAGGAACCAAAGTCTAAAGGATAGACAGAGAAACCAATGAAAGCTGAAGGGCACTTTAAGAAGGAACAGCATGCCAAACATGCACCTTGTACTTCAGTAACTGGAAAATTCAGAAAGGCAGGAGTTATAAAGGCTTGAGAAAGTTTACAGCAGATGAGGAAGGGGTAAGTCATGGGTATTTCTTCTATCATGTAAGGGGCTTAGATTTTATCTGGAAGTACTAAAGGATTTTAAACAGGACATTACATTTTGTAATACATGTTGAGCATCCCTAATCTGAAAATCCAAAATCCAAACTGCTCCAGAACCCTAAAATTTTTGAGTACCACTATGATACCACAAGTACAAATTACACACTTGGCCTCACATATGAAAATTTTGTTTCATGAACAAAATTATAAAATTGCATTCAGGCTATTATATAAAGTATATATGAAATATAAACAAATTATGTGTTTATGCTTGGGTCCCATCCTCAAGGTATCTCATTACATGTAAATATTCCAAAATAAAGAAAAACAAATTCAAAATACTTCTAGTCCCTAGCATTTTGTAACAGGGATATTCAATCTGTATATTGAAGAATATGGAGGCAGGCAACTTAGAGGGGGTGAGACCATTAGGAAGTTACTGCAGTAATCTTACGTCAGAGATGTTGCACACCCAACTTGGCAGTGAGAAAGGGATAGGAAAGACAGCAGAAAACATAAAATACAGAGATTGTTAAAATTAATACATTGATTAACTGGGGGTGCAGTGGGATGAGCTGAAGATAAAACTGACCAAGAAAAAGAGTATAACTTTAATATCCAGGCTTTATTTCCTTATTTAAAATTTTTCATCCAACGAATACTTGAGCATCTATATGCACTGTCTGGACACTGTGCTATATTAACATATGGAGTAAATAAGTTTGATTTATTCTTTACTCCTGCAGAACTAGTTTAGCTGCTCGGCTCAGTTCTCTAGTAGAAGTTGGAAACCACAGCCCACACTCCTATTTTATTTGACACTCCCCCACCCCAAAAGAGTTTTTAAAAACATTTGATTTTGAATGCCCAGTTAACCACATTCCCTCTCTGTTACTTCTTTACTCTGTCTACTGAACTTCCCAGGGCTCTGAAAGTATTAAGTCTATGATTCTTGATCTACTGTGCTATTTAAAAAAAAAAAAAAAAAGTATAAAAATCACATGTAAAATGTCCCATTGTGACCATTTAAAAATGTATAATTCAGTGGCAGTTAGTACGCTGACAGTGTTGTACAACCATTATCACTATTTATTTCCTGAATATTTTCATAATCCCTTAAAGAAAATCCCATACATATAAGTAGTCACTCCCCACTCCCCCTAGTGCCTGGCAACTACTAACATCTTTCTGTCTCTACAGAGTTGCCTATTTGGATATTTCATATCATACAATATGTATCCTTTCATGTATGATTTCTTACAATTAGCATAATGTATTCAAGACCAGTTCATGTTGCAGCATATATTAGCACTTCATGCCTTTTTGTTACTGAATAATATTCTGGTGTATGGATACAGCACATTTGTTTATCCATTCATTAACTGATGAATATTTGGGTTGTTTTCACCTTTCAGCTATTGTGAATAGCGCTGTTATAAGAACTAATGTACATATTTTTTTAAATATCTGTTTCCAATTCTTTTATGTACATACCCAGGGGTGGAATTGCTAGGTCATATGATAAGGTAATTCTATGTTTAACTTATTGAGGAACTGCCAACATTGTTTTCCACCATGATTTCACCAGTTTACATTCCCACTAGCAATGCATAAGGATCCTAGTGTTACTTTAGACTCTTCCTCTTTTGCTTCCCACATAAAGTCACTTTTGAGAATATTCTAATTAAAATAAAATTTCTGGATCCCAAGATGGCCAAATAAGAGACAGCTCTGGAAAGCAGCTCCCAGCAAGAGAGATGCTGAAGCTGAGTGGTCTCCACAATTCCAAACGAGGTACCAGGTTCATTTTGTGGGTCTGGTTGGACAGTGGGTATCAACCAAATAGGGCGAGTTGAGGCAAGGTGGGGCATTGCCCCACCCAGGAGGTGTATGCAACCAACCAGAGGACCAGGGGATCTCTCCCTCTGGGACTTTGGTTCAGGTACAGTGCTCCACGCAAGCCCTCTACAACCCACAGAACAGGAGATCTTCGCTGGGCTGAAAAAGCCTCAGTGAGCTGCCTGAATAGGGCAGAACAGCAACTTCAGCTAGCGCCAGGGCTGTCAGCATAGATCTAGGTGGAATCACTGGCTGATGCGAAAGCCAGAAAGCTGGCTGGATGGAGCTACCTGCCCCCCAGAAAGAAGGGGAACTGAAAGCAGGGAAACAGCCCATAGGGCAGGATGAGTTCCCCGCCAGCCCCCGATCCCTGCACAAAGCCCAGCAGGCTAAAAAACTCTCACTCCAGAGATTCGCACCCAGAACATCATTTAGAGAGCAACCAGGAACAATCGAGCTCCGTGGGGGAAAGGGCAGCTGCCATTGCAGAAGCAGGCCCAATTTTCCTAAGTAAATAAAAGACACAGCAGCTCCACTGAATCCATGGCAGCCCAGCAGCACCTCTGTAGGCAAAGGAAAGGCTGCCTCCCCAAGCAGCTACCTGAGATCAAAACTATATAAATCCAACAAGATGGGAAGAAAACAGCACAAGAAGAATGAAACCATCAAAAACCAGAATGCCTCTCCCTCACCACGAGCTCACAACTCCTCACCAGCAAGGAACAAAGCTTGACAGAGAACAAATTTGATGAACTGACAGAAGCAGGCTTCAGAAGGTGTAATAACAAACTTCTCTGAGTTAAAGGAACATGTTATATCCCAAATGCAAAGAAACTAAAAACCTTGAAAAACAGATGAAATGCTAACTAAAATAACCAGCTTAGAGAAGAACATAAATGACTTGATGGAGCTGAAAGACACAGTACGAGAACTTCATGAAGCATATACAAGTTTCAATAGCTGAATAGATAAAGCAGAAGAAAGGCTATCACAGATTGAAGATAGAATCAATGAAATAGATTCATTGAATCAATGAATAGGCAAGAAAAGAGAACAAAGAGTGAAAAGAAATGAACAAAGCCTTCAAGAAATATGGGATTATGTGAAAAGACCTAATCTACACTTGATCAGTATACAGAGGATGACAGGGAGAATGAATCCAAGCTGGAAAACACTCTTCAGGATATTATCCAGGAAAACTTCCCCAACCTAGCAAGGCAGGCCAACATTCAAATAACAGGAAATACAGAGAACACCACAATGATACTCCTCTAGAAGAGCAACCCCAAGGCACATAATTGTCAGATTCACCAGGGTTGAAATGAAGGAGAAAATGCTAAGGGCAGCCAGAGAGAAAAGTCATGTCATCCACAAAGGGAAGCCCATCAGACTTACAGTGGATCTCTCGGCAGAAACCCTACAAGCCAGAAGAGAGTGGGGGCCAATATTCAACATCCTTAAAGAAAAGAACTTTCAACCCAGAATTTCATATCCAGCCAAACTAAGTTTCTTAAGTGATGGAGAAATAAAATCCTTTACAGACAAGCAATTGCTGAGAGATTTTGAAACGACCAGACCTGCCCTACAAGAGCTCCTGAAGGAAGCACTAAACACAGAAAGGAAAAACCAGTACCAGCCACTGCAAAAAAGAACCAAATGGTAAAGACCAACAACACAATGAAGAAATTATGCTAACCAAAGGGCAAAACAACCAACCAGTAATAAAATGGCAGGATCAAATTCAC